TGGGGGCTGTCTTTTGCCTTTCTTTGAATGCTGAGCCCTTAGCACAGTGCCAGATATAGCGTAGATGCTTAACAAATGTTTATTGACTGACTGACTTTAATGCAAAGTTGAACACAGGTGAAAAAAGTGAAAATGTATTGGGAAATATTAATTGGTCAAAAATCAACATGCAAATCACAATCATAATGCATTTATTAAGTGTCTACCTTGTGCCAGGCATTGGGACTACTGAGACAAAAATGAAACAATCTCTGGCTTCAAGGAGCTTATATTTTATCAGGAGAGACAACACATACAAATATAGTAAATAAAATATATACATGCTACACTTGGGATGAGAAGGGAAGCATCCTCTTCTACTATGGCACTCTAGGTCTGAGTTCCTGTGACCCTAGGTTCACACTCTAGGAGATTCTGATCCCTAAAGAGAGACCAGACTTTTCTTGAATTCTCTGACTCATTAAATCCTCCTAGAAAGCTTCTAAACTAAAGCTAAGGAATGACTTGTAACACAAGGTCTACCTAGAAGGGACTAATAGGATTTCTTACTACTGAAGAAGGAAAAAAAAATTGCAAAGTATATCTTTTAGTTTAGTACAGCTATTTATTCTTCCACACACACACACACACAAAAAAAACTAAAAACACAAAGTAATCACAAGTACTCATTGACAAATACTAAAATCATGAAGCAGTAACCAATCACTAATTATTATACTCTCCCAGGAGATTGCTACTTAAAGCATTAAATCATGAAAAATCTTTATGAGACTGACAAACAAGCTCTTCACTAAGAATGTTCATAGCACTCAGTTTTTGAACAGTAGTCATCTTTACTTGAGAGGTTGCTAAGAAAGTCAACCTCCTATGTGGCAACTGGCAACAGAGTTCATAGTCTCTTGAAATCATAAGGTTGTTTGCTTCAAGGCAAGAAACACCAGTCTCAGGATCATTGTTTGATCACCTGTGCTAGGCAAGAAACACAAAGTAGAAGAGCAACTATGACCTTGATGATCAGTCTTAGATTCAACCAGGGAACATGGTCAAGTGATATAGGGTCCCCCAATGCCATCTTCCTTAATGTCTGAGAAAGAGCACGAAGATTCTAAATGTGTTGAACAGACAGGAAGAGAAAGTGAGCAAATAAGAATTGTCTTTAAGTTTAATGAATGGGCAGCTCTTTGTGATAAGTGACCAGTTGTCTCCTGCCATAACCATAATGGTGGCAAAGGTTCAATCAGGAGTCAGCCTTTCCTTATTTATACTCCTCAGCAAGGAGCCAGGGCAATTTTGTCCTTGGAAGTAGGCCAGCAACGAGGCAACTGTAAAGGAGAAGGGCATTTGCTCAGCTCCTGGGAAGTGTCCTAGCCAAAGCAGAGCAAAGCAGACGAGAGAGAGTTCAAATAACCTCCACTACAAACAAAGTAGATACAGAGCAATTTTTATTGGGAAGGTACTAGAAGCTGGGAGAATGGCAGTCAGGAACTGAATTACTTATAGAAAGCAGTGCTTGATTTGAGCTTGGAAGAAAATTAGGTATTCAGACAGAGAAAGCTATGGAAGATAAGATTTTGAGATGTGCAGTCTAGCTAGCCTGCAAAGGCCACAGGGATATGAGATGGATTGTTATGTGTGAAGAGCAAGAGAGCCAGTTTGGCTGGGCTAAAATGTATGTGAAGAGGAATTATAGGTAATAAGTCTAGAAAGGTATTTTCTTATTTGTTGAATGAGGCAATATGTATAATAAGCACTTAGCACAGTGTCTTGCAGATATAGGTGCTAAGTGCTGTATAAAAATACTTATTCCCTTCCCCTACATAAATACTATTGTACTAATAATTACATAATTAGTGGTCCTCACTTTGGAGACCATGGCTCTATACAGATTGGATCTAAGAGTACAAAGAAAAATGAACAAATAAGGGGAAAATCTTCAAATAAGTTACTATATTACGACATATAAGGTGCCCTAAGTAGAACAGGCCTTGCACTAGCCTACAAGTATCTGCAAAAATTTTTTCCTCTGTTTTCCTGCTAGGCAATGGTGTTAAGTGACTTGCACAGGGTCACACAGCTAGCAAGTGTTATGTGTCTGAGGCCACATTTGAACTCAGATCCTCCTAACTCCAGGGCCGGTGCTCTATCCACCTGGCTGTACCAGGGAAATTTTGCTCAAGTAACTTCAAGACAATTTTAACTACATAAGATGAAAATTTTTACATAAAGAAAACCCAATATGGCTAAAATTTGAATGGAAGCAGGTAACCAAGAAAAAACTTCTTGAAGAAAGTCTTTTTTGAAAAGATTTCATTTCCAATTGACTTCTGGGAGGCAAGATGGTAGGTAAGAAGTAAGTTGCTCCTACTCTCCCTTACTAACCTCTAAAAACCCCAGAAAATATTGCCCCAAGAAAAAACACTGGAATAGATGAGCTGGCAGAAAGACGAGGTGCACAGTCTTTGAGCCCAGGAAGCTTGAGGGACTAACAGGAAAGGTTTGTCTTGCTCTGGTGGAAGGAGAGTAGTACAGGGTGGGAAGCATCCCACAAGCCAGCAGCAAGCCCGACCTTAGCAAACCAGGGGAAGATCCTGAGCCCCAGGGTGGAGCAGTCAAGCACCAGCACCAGGACCACACTCCCACTACCCCAAGTACCTTGCTACAGGTAGGGAAACAGGTAGACTCTAGCTTGGAAAACCACCACATATGCCAGAAGGCAGGCTCCTCCAGCATCCTCCTTCCTCCCAGTCCTTCACCACAATTCTAGGAGGCACAACTCCAGCCCGGTAGGCATCCTCCTGCAGCCAAATCTTCAGTGCTTCAAAACAGCCTCGGTGAGCTAGTGTCTTCCAGGGGCCGGACTCCCTCACCTCATCTCTGACAGCTTTAGTGTTGTTGACCACAATGTTGACAAGTGGGGCCCTAGGCCTTCCCATCTGCCTGCTCATGAACTCCAACCTTAATGCCTCCTCAAGGATTTCCAAACTGTCAAGCCCTGTGCAGCTCCATATTGGAGTTTTGGTTTTTTGTTTGTGTTGTGTTGTTTTGCTTTGTTTTGTTTTGCTTTGCTTGTGGGATAGAAGATCAAATAGGGGGAAAACTAGGCTTAGCACTGGGGGATTCAATTCAGTCATGGACAGCCCTGTACTTGGGGGTTTATGTAGGGGAAGTTAGAGGATGGAAGAGAGCAGATGTGCTTTTGCACAGAGGCTGTGCAGCCAAAGAAGGGGCAGCCACTGTGTCCTGGCACACAGGACAGAACCGTGTCCTCACCTAGGGCTCCAGCATTCCAACTCCCCATACCTCCTCTGCTGTCCCTGTCCTGGCAGGGAGACCCACCCCCGTGCCTGTAGACACTGCTTGCTCCCTGCCCTGGCGGCCACTTCCATGTAAAGTGTCCCTCCCAGTCCTTTAGCGGAGACCCGGATAACACGTAAGGGAGCTCGTGGGAAAAGCGGGGCACGCATCAAAGGGGCCGCGAGGAGAGAGGGAGTGCACTGGGCTAGGGCCAGCCGGGCCTTCATCCTGGGGGATCATCTTTGGCCTGAGGCTGCCCCCATTACACGGTTGCTTAGAAGGCAGCTGGACTCTGGTGTTTGCAGGAGGAGCACAGCCAAGGCCGGGCATAGATGGGTAATGAACCCCATTCTGGGCAGACAAGAGGGGCATGTGCCACGAGGACACTAGGTGAGTCAACCCTGGGCACAGGGCTGTTGCCAGTCCTCCCTCTTCCCAAGCACACTCACGTACGCCGGTACACAGAAACAAACGCACGCACACAGAGGCCACTGTCTCTCACACGTGTACGCAGGCACTCACAGCACTAGGCAAATCAACCAGACTTTGTCGTAGAGGGAGGTGAAATGCATGCCATTCCTTGGCGTTGGGACTTGAGCCCTGTCCTGGTCAACTCGATTTTCGGTTGGTTGTTTGTTTGTGTGAGAGGGACATGAAGCAGTGGATCAAAGAGTCCTGGCGCTGAGGACTCCACTGAGTCATGGACGTCGCTGTTCCTGGGATTTTGTGGGGAGAGCTTAGGGGATGGAGCGGAGGCATAGGGATGGAGCGGAGGCAGCGGTGCAAAGCAGGTGACTCTGGGGGAGGGGCCAGATGGCCCTCGCATAGAGGAGGGCACGGAGCTTCAGAAACTCCACCTAACACCTTTTCTCCCGGCCACGCCATGCCAGAGTGTGGCCCGACGGGGTCCCTGCTGAGACCATGTCCACTCCCGGAGCGCCCCATCTGCATCAGCGTCCGGGTCCTTTGATGGCTACTAGAGTGAGTCGGGGAATGCTGGCGCGTGCCAGACGAACTGTGAGAACAAAGAAGGCGCGAGCTCTTGCTAGGGCAGCCAGATTTGGATCCCGGCAGGATCATCCTTGGCCTGGGGCTTCCCCAGTTTAGAAGCTTTGCTAGAGACCAGCTGGGCACTGGCATTGGGAGGTTGAGACTGGGTATAACATGCTAATGAGCCCCATTCTGTCCCGACAAGAGGGGCATATGGGGCCAGGGATTGGGAGGGTCAGCGCTGTGCCCTGGACTGTGGCCTGCCTTCCCTCCCCCCAAACGCAAATCGTTACGTACACACACACACACACACACACAGCTTACACCACTAGGGAAAACAAAAGGGCTTTGTCCGAGAGGGCGGTGGAAAGTCATGCCATGTCTTGGCATTCGGAAATGCGCCTCGGCCAGGACTATTGGATTTTGGTGTTGTTTGTAGGAGAGGGAGATGAAGCAGGGCCAAAGAGCCTGTGGTTGAGGGACTCCGCTCAGTCATGGACATCGCTGTTCCCGGGATTTGGGGCAGATGTTAAGTGAAAGAACAGAGGCAACTGCGTCCAGGAGCAAGACTTTAGCGTGTAGATGAGCCCTGTGAATGAGGGTGAGCAGGCAAGAGGAGGTGCAGACACTGTTCCCCAGCACAGAGGAGGGCACGGAGCTCCAGACCATCCCCCTCTCTACCACCTTGTCTCCCGGCCACAATGTGGGCGCGTCTCTATGGGCTACCTGCTGATCCCGCTAGGTGTGCTCTCCGACCGCACCGTCCAAGTCCACATCCGCATCGGCGTCCGCGTCCCTTGGTGTCTACCGGTGTAACGCCTGAAGAACGCTGGGCGCGAGCTAGAGGGAATGCGGGGACAAAGAGGGCGCGAGGTCGGGCTAGGCACAGCCAGGTTTTCATCCTGGCAGGATCATCCTTGGCCTGGGGCTGCCCCAGTTGAGAGGGTTTCCTGCAGGGCAGCTGGGCTGTAGCATTGGGTGGATGAGAGCGGCCAAAACGTGGCTTCAAGTGGTCCTGAGCCCCATTCAAGCCAGCCAAAAGAGGCATGTGGGACCAGGGGACTGGGAGGGTCAAGCCAGTGCACGGGACTGTGGTCATCCCTTCCTCCCCCCAAACACAAACAGGTACAGGCAAACGCGCTCCCACACACATACATACGAGGAGAGACAGACTGACAGATTACCTAAGGACTTTTTGAATACCTACATCTCCCTTTTCCTATTCTCTAAACATCAATATTGTACTAAGAACAAGAAAAAAAAGAAGTTTGAAATTTCCTGAATTTATGAATAAATGTATTTATGACTTAAGGTCAAACTTGACATATCCCAAACTTAACATTTCATCATGTGCCTCTCAGCCTCTATGTATCTGTAAATTGTACCAACATTCTTTCAGTCATCTAGGTAGGACTGAAAAAATAGAGCCATCTTTGACTCTTCTCTTTTCCATATTGAAGCTAGATAAAATCTCTGCCTAGTTTTAAAGACTTTTCATAATCTTAGTCCATCTTCTCCCTACCCAACTCATTTTCTGCTTCTTCTGTATCCTCCTTTCTAATTCGATTGGTCTTATTACTAATTCACATTCTCATTGTTCACTTTTCTTTTCCTAAAATGTCCTCTCCAATGCCCCATGTCCTGGCCAGTTCTCATTGATTTCCCACTTATAATGCAAGCCATCACTTATCATTTAATTATATATTCTTGCTTCATATGTTTGATTTTTGTCTTTCTACTAGATTGTGCTCTCTTTGAATTCAAGGACCATGTCTTTTGTTTTTTAAATAAATCTGAATTTTCATGAATACAAAAAAAAAAGTAGAACAGGCAGAGAAGATTTTATGTAAAACCACAAATCACTGCAGTTTGCTTTAAAAAATAAATTATAAATTCAGCTTGTTACTTTCAGAGTTGTCCTACTTACCTAAATTTCCCTTTGAACTTCCTTCTCTTCTCTTCTGTGCACTTTTAAAATGTTTCTATGACTCTCTTTTTATTTATTTCTTCTTTTGGGGAGAAAACACTGTTACTAGCCCTCTCCTCCCCACCCACATTTAGAAAAAGAAAAACAATTCTTGTGACAAATAAGCAAAACAAATCTATGCTTGCCGTGTCTAAGAATTTATACTTCATTCTCTATTTTGAGTCTGTCACCCCTCTGTCAAGAAGAAGGGAATGTGCTCCATGATCATTCATCAGCATGATTGATATACATGATTGCATACATCAGAATTCTTACATTTTTTCTTTGTAGTATTACTGTGTAAATTGTCCTCCTGTTTCTACTCACTTTGCGCTGTGTCAGTTCATACACGTCTTGTGAGATTTTGCTGAAGCTGTCTCTCTTGTCACTTCTCCTTCCTTATCCTCCACAGTATCAAGAGCATAGTCGGGGGGCTCAGGAAACACTTGTTGATTGGTATAGTGATAACCTAGCTAGTTATTAACAGAGGGTCACAGTTCTTTCCATTCTTTCCTGTGCCTAGCTGCATTGATTTCCAAATCCTCATTATCTATGTATACCCATCCTTTCACTCTAGATGTAAGGTGAATTTACTTTCCCCCTACAGTTTTACTGGAAACTTGTTGTAAGTGAAATTCATTGTTCTGGCAGTTTTCTATGGTCATTTGGGAGGAAAAAAGGAAAATTGCTAATGCATTCATGAGCAATTAATACCAATAAGAAATGAATAAATCATTTTTTTTGTTATATGCATGCGAAAACATCCTCCATGATATGGACAGATAAAACAGTCATGTCTTTCATGTAACTTAAAAACCAAATTGTTTTGATTTTACTTTCTACAAATCCATTCTTCTTTCTTTCCTTCCTTACTTCATTCTAAGACCTAATGTAGCATATCTTTATCTTATTTAGTTAAAAGTGAAATGTTAGTAGGTAAATATCTTTACAAACAATTATTCTTTAAGAAGAAATGAAATAAAAGTGTATTCTACAAAATAACTTGGTGGTTAAGACTAGGGTTAAGATATTAATCAGATCAGTAACAGTAAATATTTTTAATGTTTTTCCAGCTATCTTTAGTCTTACAGAAAGGTATGTCATATTAGCTAAAAATTCTGCACATACAGAATTATTGAGTTATTCCTGTTTTCCCTTTCTGAATTATGTTAGATACTATATATAAAACCAATCCACAACATGGTTCTGACCCTCTATATACTTATAGACCTTATGTACCATATAGGTATAGAATGCCTAATGCATAGCCACATTAGGATATGTGTGCACAGATTCCACAGGAACATACATTCATTGTTTGTTTGTGCTAGATTTTTAAAAAAATAGTATGTGATAGCTGTTTCTATAAGCAAGTGCCCAACTGAAAGGCAGAATGAAACAGTGATTCAATGGCTGGCCCTGAAGTCAGATAGATTGAGATGTCCTGCCTCAAATACGTAATAACTTTGTGCTCAAAGGCAGTTGACAGTCTCTCTGCACCTGAGGTGGTTTGGAGGCTATCAGTTACATAGGAATTGCTGATTCTCATCACTGGAGGGAATTCCCCACCCCCCACCTCAAAGTCCCTAAGTTAAGGAGACTGTAGTAGATAGTCCCCAACTTGGGAATTGGTTATGTTTTTAAAAGTTTTTGTATAAGTATTTAGAATGCATTTACTGTTAGAATTATAAATTTTTGTGACTAGGGTCCCAATGCCAACCCACAAAAACTTATATAATCCATCATGTAGCTGAACTATAATACTGTAAAACCAAACCATTGTCTTCTCTGACAAAATGGACTTTTTTTTTTTAGGCAACTGGGGGTAAGTGACTTGCCCAGGGTCACACAGCTAATACGTGTCAGGTGTTTGGTCTGAGGCCAGATTTGAACTCAGGTCCTCCTGACTTCAGGGCCATTGCTCTATCCACTGCACCACCTAGCTGCCCCCCAAAATGGACTTTTCTTGGAATAGACCTCTTCTTCTACCTGCCAAGCAGTCCTAGTGAGAGCTCACCAAGCTCCAAACCAATGGCTCTGGGGTCTGGAGCAGGGTAGGGAGGAGAGGGGAGAGTACAGAAACCCTTGTGTAAGGAGCAGGATAAGGGCTGTAAAGTCACGAAGGTATAGAAGAGGAGAGAGCCAACTTCTGGCCAGTGGAAATTCCCAGGGATACCGACCTGGGCTAATTAAACTCCTTAGTTGTTACCTTTCTTTCATTCTTCGGGCCACGAGGAGTGACCTGCCTTTTTCCTTGTCTACTTCTGTCAGACTGGGGTTCGAAGGTTCTCTACTGTGTGTGGATATGTCAAGAATTGTCTCTGTTGTAAAATGTTCTTGATTTTCTCGTATTTTTCATATTAATAAGTAGTCAGAAATGTTAGTAGGTCAGTGAACTTTGTCTATATCACAGTTCCCTCTTTTTTCTTTTTTTGACCTTCAGGATTTTAGAATATGTGATCTCAGGAAATATATAACAACTTATTTTAAGACGGATTGAAGTGGCATTTAAAAGTATATGTAATGCCTTAATTCATTGCTAGGAGGTTTTCTTTCTGATGATCAATCTTTGTTACTGTCATCTAAGAAGTGGAAGGGCTACAGTCTATTGCATCAGAGGGAACACCACTATGGAAAAATCTCAGATCTTTTGAACTTAAAGAAGAAAAGTAATAAGTTCAGCTAAACTCTAGTTGAAAGTCATTGGTAAGGCACCTTCAAATGTGAAAATGGTGTACATTTTGCTCTTTATCTTGATACCTCTATAAGTACCTAGAATAGTCTTCTGCATGTAGTAGACATTTAATAAATGCTAATCAGATCATTAATTACATTTAAAGAGATACCTTTAAAGAGCAGTCATTATCTGTGATTTTCTACATTCCAGTAAAAATGCTCGAGAACTAAAAAATGAAATCATACAGGTTATTTACATTACATAGATGAGCAAAAACTCCAGCATTTTCTTGGCCTAAATTCAACTTTTCCCCCAAACTAAATTAAGTAAAATTGATTTGTGAGTAACGTCACAATTGTTATGTGTATGTAAGTCTAAAAAGGCTGTCCTGTAAAGCAGTTATCCTTATCAGGTCAGTCATAATCAGCTATTCAGTTGAGGGCTAGTAGGTGCCAACACACGCCTGTGCATGCATGCACATGCCCACACAAACACATCCACGCTAATACAGTTTGCAAGGATTTCAAGCATCAAGCTGTGAGGAAAGTGGCTTGTAAAGAGGTAGGGAGAATGACTTTTAAGATCCCTGAGTCTCAGAGCTTTAAGTGACTCTCTCACTTGGATACACAGAGCCTTCTCACAGTCCACGATCATCCCAAAGAGCCAGTAAGCTGCTCCATGACCTTGCTCTCACAGGTGGTACAGTGAGTAGAGCACTGGACCTGGAGTCAGGAAGACCTGAGTTTAAATCCATCCTCAGACACTTACTAGCTGTGTGACCTTGGGCAAGTCACTTAACTTCTGTGCGCTCAGTTTTCTCAACTGTAAAATGTAGATAAATAATAGCACTTACCTCCCAGAGTTATTGTGAATATCAAATGCGATAGTAATTGTAAATCACTTACCACAATGCCTGGCACAAAATAAGTGCTCTATAAATGTTAATTATTATTATGGTTGTTGTTACTATCCTCACAGCCTCATTTTAAAGACCCTCTTACAGTACATGGTTCATATACTTTTTAAAAATTTTTTTATTTGCATGCATTATTATCTGTCCTTGACATTGTCTCCCTCCTCCCCTTGAACAAGAACAACAAATATATGAAAAATAAAACTGTCATCAAAAGAATAGTCCTACAAAACAAACTCTCATATTGCCATGAATGGAAATATGTCTTTCTCTACATTTTAAGTTCATCACCTCTCAGGCAGTAGGTAGTGCATGGATAGAGCTCTGGTCTTGGAGTCAGGAGGACCTGAGTTCAAATCCAGCGTCACACACTTAACACACTTGGTAGCTGTGTGACCTCGGACAAGTCACTTAACCCTGATCGCCTCAGCCAAAAAAAAAAAAATCATCACCAATATGTTTTGTCTTCAGTCTTCTGGACCCATGGATTGCATTAATCCGAGTTCTAAAGTCTTTCAAAGTTGTTTTTTCTATAATGGTGTCATTGTATAAAAGGTTTTCCTAGTTCTGCTTATTTCACTCTGTAATGTTTCGTGGAGTTCCAACTAGTTTCCTCCGAAACTGACTTTTCATCATTTCTTATGGTACAACAATATTCCTTATTTCATATACCATAATTTGGCCATTTCCCAGTAGAAGGATTAGTTTCCTTAGTTTCCAATTTTGTTTACTATGAAAGAGCTACCATAAGTATTTTTGTACATGTAAGTCCTTTTCCTTTTTCTTTGATCTCTTTGGGGTATAAGCCAGCTAGTGGTGGCAGAGTCAAAGGGCACACACAGTTCAGTCACTTTGAGAGCATAGTTCCAGATTGCTACCAGAATGTCTGGACCAATTCACAGCTCTGCTAACAGGGCACGTGTATGTCTGTTTTCCTGTAGCCTCTTAAACAATTATCACTTCCCTGTATTTGTCATCAGATGTGTGTGAAACAAACTCAAAGTTGTTTTAATTTACATTTCCCTAATTAATAGTAATTTGAAGCATTTTTCATATAGTTTTTTTGTATTTTTCATATAGTAATTGATAGCTTGGATTTAATATACTTCTGAAGTTGATTTTTTTAACTGATGTGCACAATTTTATAATTGTCCCTATTAAATTGTCTTATTAAATTGAACTCTGTCTAGCCTGTCAAGATCTTTTTGAATCCTGACTGTCACACAGTGTTTTAGCTGTCCCTCCCCTCCTTTCTGTCTTTTACAAATTTGATGACTATTCCATTTATATTTTATCCAAATCATTGATAATATGTCAAGCTGCAGACACCAAAGCACAGACCCTAAGACACTACGAAGAGTCCTTCATTGGCACATCAGTCCAACCACAATGGTCTTCTTACTGCTACTCACACATCACATCTATCTCTCATCTCTGTCTGATTCCTCAGGCTGTCTCCCATTCCTGGAATGCATTCCATCTTTTTAGAGGTTGTTAGAATCCCTCATTTCCTTTGTAGCTCACCTCAAATGCCACCTCCTACATGAGGCCCTTCCTGGTTTTCCCAGCTTCTAGTGTCTCTCCTCCCTTCTTCCATCCCCCCCAAATGACTTTATACTTATTTGCTTGCATACTATATATGTATAAATGTCTCTCCAGTAGTATATTAGCTCCTTGTTATCCCACTGCCTGACACATAGAAGGCACTCAGTAACTGCTTATGAAGACAGTATGTGTCTCTGCTTTTGACCTTCACACTTAATATTCTGGGTGCTTCTTTTGCTTAGTCTGTGATCATTTGGCAGCAGTCTGCAGCCAGACCCCGTCATTTAAAGCTTGGCTTCAAAAGAACATGAATTGTACAATTATAGGAAAGATTTCCATGAAGAATTGGGCAGAATTTGACAAGATTTTCCATGAAGATTAAATGTCTTAACATATCCAGATGTCAAGTTCCTTTGTTCTAATGTTACAGCTTCATCACTGGTCCAGCCCTAATCCCAGGATACTTTTCAGTTGAGGTGGATTATGTCGTGCTTGTTTTAAATGGAAGAGAAGACACAAAGATCTCTTTCGCCACACAGTGGTTACTCTATACAAAAACTTTAATAGACACTCGGAAACTCCAGCACGTTGCTGTTGTCTTACTTGGAAATGAACATTGCAACAACAAATGGATTAGTCCATATCTTAAAAAAAATGGAGGCTTTGTGGAAATACTTTTTGTAATCTATGATAGCCCCTGGATTAATGGAGAAGATATTTTCCAGTGGCCCTTAGGGGTAGCCACGTAAGTCTAAAATGTAATCACATTGTCTTTCAGAATTGAATACTTTAATCTTTATGCCATTAAAACGAAGGTTATGCAGTCAACTTTGTTTAAAGATTTTTCAGAACAGGAAAATTAGTTATCTGTCTGTGATCATTAGGGACAGGTAAAATTTACAG